GTGAAGAGACCAGCTCCCCTGATTGGCAGGGCCCAGGGGAGCTTCCATCTGTTAGGCAGGGCCCGGCGGAAGTCTCTCTGACCACCTTGACATTGTTTCACCTCCTGGTTGCATGGACACTCAAGCACCCCACTAAGAATTCTGTAATCTGTTGAGGCATTGTTGTTTGTCCCTGTGAGACAGTTTTTGCAACCGATGTGAGCTTGCAAGTTAATGTCATTGATAATGTCTTGGTGAGTGGGCCTTTGACAAATTACACACAGGAGTACAATTAAGCCCATGCCATATTTGGACACCTTATTGGGTATTTAACCATTGCCTCAGAATTTGGCCCAACATGTAGCACTCCTTCTGGGGAGGGGCTTGAAAATATCCTAAATATTAATGCAAATGATGGGAGTGAGAGCTGAAACTGCTATAGCAATAAATAGTTATCGTTATCTCAAAGGCTAGCCTATCTTTGCAAATTTTTTGGAGCATAGAAAATGTAATTGTTTTGGCCACTTTTATAATTTTTAGCTAAAGGAATTAAGGATGCTTTTATTAAAGAAAAATGCTTTTGATTATTGTTTCATTGTTTATGGGGTTGTAGAGTCTATAGTTGTAGGGGAATTTAACATTTGAAACTTTTGTTTTAGATTTTATATTTTTTCCCTTGTAACCTATTTTTACATTAATGGGTAAATTGTAGAAATAGAAATGTGGTAGGAATGTAGTACTGATTAGCAGGTAATCGCATGTGCCTTGGCCTTGGAGTCCTGGCTGTTGCTCCATGGTACTGTTGAAGAATAAATAAAGGCTTGCTTTGAAGAATATGAATACAGTATTTTGCAGAATTATCTTTAGGGGCACCTGCTTAGCCCTGAAGTGCAGACAGAATAACCAAATGTCTGTACATGCCCCCTTAGTCTTGAAGTAAAAAGTAGAATGATTAGTTGCTTGTGTAGAAGCTTGTGAGGTGTCTGAGTAAATAAAAAGGACAGCTTTTTCTTGAGCTGTTGTGAGAACGCACCAAGTGACAGTGTCTGTGTCTTTCTTCATCGCCGACTCCACACACCCTTCCCGAGCTCCGAACTCAGCTGGAGCTGGACTCCGGCACCCCCTCTTAACCTCCTGCTCCGCCCTGGGACCCCCTCCTGCTCTGTACACACAACCTACTGCCCCTCTTCAAGTGCTTCATACACGGCACTCATGGACCCACACCACATAGGGGCTCACAGCTGAGCCTGGGTCGGACACAAACATGGCAACTCTCTCAGGGTCTCATAATAACCCAGCCCCTCAACCTCCTGCCCCACTTCAAGGTGCTCCATACACAGGGCTCGTTCGCCCACACCATGTAGGGGCTCATGGCTGAGCCTGGGTTGGACATAAATGCAGCATCTCCTTCAGGGTCTCACAGTACTCCAGCCCTTCAAACTTCTGCTGGCTTCCCTCATCAGACCCTTCTGGCTGTCGTGGGCTGCCAACCCTGGCTGGGATGTATCCACCCTCTGACCACTGTGACTACTTCAGCTTGTCATCATCTTCTGTGATGGGCAGCCTCAGCCCTGCCCCGGGATTTCCTCACAAGGGGAGCGGGAGAGAGCACTTGTGTCGACTCTGGGGACACAGGGCTAAAGGAAAGATACTCGGTCATGGGGGCAGGGGAGGGGCTTTCCACCCTTGAGGACCTCGTGACTTGGGGGGTCATGACTCCACACCTGCCACACACAGGCCTGGAGCCTCCATGTGAGTGCCCAGTCTGGGGGGACTCCGTCCTGTCCCTGTCCCTCAGGACCAAGGAGGCCTCCTTCCCCGTGGCTGCCACTCCTGAACCTCCCTGCCTGCCACTCCTGACTTGCCAGACCACAGAAGGATGGGAGAGAGCCTGCTACTCTGGCCGGGGGCTAGTGCCCTCACTCCTGTGGCTGCTGCCTGCACCTCAGCACCACCGCCTCCTACCCAGGCGCAAGACTGGAGATGCCCACCTCCCACGCCTCCCGGACCACTGCAGCCACTCTCCTTTTCCAATCCCAGGCTGCTGGCACTTGGCATGGCTGTCTTCCCTGCCCTCACTCTCCTTTGTAGTTTCCCAGTCAGAAGCAAACACTGGCAATTCACTGTCTCAGCATCAAACCCCACATCTCTTGCTTTTAATTTCCAGTCACAGAAACAAACACATGATAATCAAGCTTTCTCCAATCAAACATAAGGAAAAGATCCTTAAGTGTGCATGTGAAAAAAATCAATTGACATATAAAGGAATGCCAATTGAACTCACAGAAGACCTCTCACAGGAAACTCTATAGGCAAGAAAAGAATGGAGTGACATATTCCAGATTCTAAAAGCAAAAATTGTTGGGCCAGGATAACATACCCAGCAAAACTTTCCTTTGTCTTTGAAAATGAAATAAAATTCTTCCACAATAAAGAAAAGTTAAAAGAATATGCCTCTTCCAAACCTGCCCTACAAATGATACTCAAAGATGTTCTCTTGACAGAGAAAAGGAATAGCGCCCACCAAAACCAAAGGCAAAAGCGAAGAACATCCCAGTAAAATAACAACAGAAGACTATATCAATGAACAATTCATTGCTAAAATGACAGAAAAAAATTACCACCCATTCATATTAACCCTGAATGTAAACAGCTTAAACTCATCAATTAAATGTCATAGATTAATAGACTGGATTAAAAAACCCATCTATTTGTTGCCTACAGGACACATATCTCACCAACAAAGATCAGCGGAAACTATATCTCATGGATTTTGATTTTTTCGTTAGTTTCATCTCTTCAAAATACTTTCTTCTGATTAAATTCTTCAGTGACTCACAGATCATACAGAAGCATCATTTTCTTCAACAACATTCTTGATTTTCTTTTTCATTTCTTTAGCAACACATTAGTCATTCAGTAGCATGTTATTTAACTTTATGGTGTTGTTAATTTCTTTTTTTTCCTTCTTATTGTTAATTATGTTTTGTGGTTTTTTTTAATTTAAGGAGATGTATAGTAACTGTGTAATGGAGACTAGCATATCCAGATGTGAAGCTACAATGCAGTATGCATCTCTACTTCCAAAGATGGACTCCCATGAAACTTTTTACTATATCTTGACAATAGGATGCTGGACTCTATCATTGTCCACGCCCACAATGATGAACATATGATTGTGTAGGAAGAACTATACTATAGTAATGATATAGGGGAACTCAGTGAGGGGGGAGGGAATTGGGGAGGTGATAAGGGAAACCCCACAATCTAAGGAACTGTATCATAAAATGATAATAGTAAAAAGTAAAATTTTTAAAAAGCAATTGGGACTGCCCAAGCTTGCGAAAATGTTGACCACACCTTCAAGTGGGTGGACTGGGAATGGCCCAGCCATTTCCTAGTTGGTTGAGAGACCACCAATGGGAAATGCCTTCCCCACAGTTAGGGAACACTTAAAAACCCATGACCCTTCCCAAAACCTTTGGTGTCTCCCTCTGTCCCTTCAAAGGACACCCCATCTCTCAGATTCCTTCCAGGAGGTGTTTTCCACTTCCTTTTCCTGTTCGCCTGTTCACTTTGTAAATAAAACTTCTCTGCCACTGCTTGCCAGATTTTTATTTCTTTCCCTTTTTTAAGGAGCTATTTATTTTTATTGGAAAGGCAGATTTACAGACAGAAGGAACGACAGAGAAATATCTTCCATCTGTTGGGTCACTCCCTAAGTGGGTGCAATGGGCAGAGTTGAGCTGATTTGAAACCTGGAGCCAGGAACCTCTCCTGGGTCTCCCGTGCAGGTGCAGGGTTCCAAGGCTTTGGGCCGTCCTCAACTGCTTTCCTAGGCCACAAGCAGGGAGTTGGATGGGAAGTGGAGCAGCCAGGATTAAAACCAGCGACCCTATGGGATCCCAGCACGTTCAAGGTGAGTACTTAGCCAGGAAGGTTTATTTTAGGCTGTGGATTTTAAGGTTCCCAGACTGGGAGGGAACAGCCTCATTCGCCTGAGCCTTTGGAGGACGGGGCTGGCAATGGAAGCGTGAGGAATGTCACCTGCCTCCCATGAGGCCCACCTGCCAATCGCCACCCTCAGTAACATCCGTGTGGAATCCAGCATTTAAACGTGTGAAGTCCTCGCCAGAGCCAGGAACCGAGCCGCGCTCTCCACAGCAGAACCCCTGTGGGATGCCTTTTCGCGGGCACACGTCACTGACACCTCAACTGGCCAATGGCAAACCTGGAAGGCTGCGCACGGCCCGGTTTCAAGCATGCGCAGTGGCTGCCAGGCGGGACAGTCGCTCTAGCGGCCTTCGTGGGAGCAAGTGCGCAGGCGCCCAGCGGGCATTTGGTCCAATCAGCGGTCGAGGCGCCAAAGGCGCAGGCGGCAGGCTGAGCGGCATGGCGGGACGGCTGGGGTCCTCGGGTGTGGAGTCGGCGGGGACGGCGGCCCGGGCCGAGACGGCCGCAGGTAGCGCCGGGGCTGCGGGGAGCAGAGCGCGGGGCTCCAGGGCTGCCTGGGACGGTGGCCCAGCGGGGTCCGGAGGGGAAGGGCTCGGCCGGACGGAGCCCTGACTGACCTAACCCTAAATCTAACCCTGACTGACCTAACACTAACCGAAAGCTGACTGACCTGCCGAGCCCTGACTGACCTAACACTAACCGAAAGCTGACTGACCTGCCGAGCCCTGACTGACCTAACCCTAAATCTAACCCTGACTGACCTAGCGCTAGCACTGACCCTGACTGACTTCGCGGTTAGCAGCCGCCTCACTGGAGAAGAGCTGCCGACCCCGACTGACCTATGGAGCCCTGATTGACTTATGCAGCCCTGACTGACCTAACCCTAGCACTAACCCTGACTGACTTCGCGGTCAGCAGCCGCCTCACCAGAGAAGAGCTCCAAGGTCTTCGGGGATTTCCTTCCAAGGCGCCCTGCTGCCAGTCGTGCCGGGATGGAGTGCACCGGGTCTAGTCGAGGGCTGTGGGATCCCCGAGCTACCCGGTGCCGTGTCCCCACAGGGCAGGACAAAGCATCCCAGAAGGTCGAAGACTTGATGGAAATGGTGAAGAAGCTGCAGAAAGGTGCGGTGTGGCTTGTGTGAGGTTTGGGTCCAGGCTCCGTTCCAGGCCCTGCCATTTACTGCGTTGTGAAACTTTTAAAAGGATTTGTTTGCTTGTTTGTTTGTTTGTTTGTTTGAAAGGAACAGCTACAAAGAGTCAGGGAGGGTTGGTGAATCTTGGATCTCTGGCTCCTTCCCTAAATGGCTGGGCCAGACAGAAGTAGGAACTTCCTCCTGGTCTCCCACGTGGGTGCAGGCCCAAGGGCTGGGCTCTTTGGCTGATTTCCCAGGCTCATTAGCAGGAGTGGGATCGTAAGTGGAGCAGCAGGGACTTGAACCAGCACTCATATGGGATACTGGCATCATGAGCAGCGGCTTAGCCACTGTGCCATAACACTGGCCCTCTCATTTTATTACAAAAGACAGAAAGAGAAGAATTTCCTGTTCTCTGGTTCACTCCCCAAATGCCTGACTGAAGTTAGCAGCTGGGGACATGTACCTGAGAATTTGTTGCCTCCCATGGTATATGTGCATGGGAAGCTGGAAATGAGAGAGAAACTGGGATAGAACCCAGCCGCTCTGATGTGAGATGTGAGCATCTCAAGCAGTGTCAAATAGTGCACTTCATTTCGTTTAAAATTTAATTCCTTGAACTGAAAATAGGGCTCTATAACTCAGAATGAAAGAAGTAGATGGGGATGAAGGCAGTATTTTTTTCTGTACCCTGTTGCAGTACCTTCGATTCAGAGGTTTTCATTCACCCCTTCTTCCTTTGCACCTCATTCTGCACTGCTTGCTGTGGCTCCCCAGGCTCTTCCCAGCCTTGTTCCACTTCAGGATGGACTCTGTGTTGACTCCTCCCACACAGCCCAGGGCAATGGAGATTCCTTCCTGTATCTGAGAAACACTTCCAACACCTTCACTGTTTAGCCCCTTGTCTTATTTAATTTCTCTTGACCTGGGTCAGGATCTCCAGGTGTCAGTTTCTTGTCTCCCAAGCAGCATGTGACCCTGTGAATGGTCCACAGAGCCAGTGTCCAACGTGTGTAATCAGTAGCTCTCTGTAATGGAGGAAGCAGAGGTTGGCTGGCACCGTTACCTCCTGCTCTGTCAATGACTGCATCTTTGTTTCCTCTCTGTAGTGGGAAGCCTAGAGCCCAGAGTTGAGATCCTGATTAACCGCATTAATGAGGTTCAACAAGGTAGGCTTGGAGACCTTTACCTGCAGCCAGGAGCTACACGATGTGTAAGGATCCTTGTTTTAAAATTGCAGATAGTTACAACAGCAGAGCATTAAATAAAGTACCAGATCTTTCCACATGGAACTCCCATAGTCACATAAAGAAGCATTACCTCCTCTGTAAAATTTAGACTTCTCTATGTTTGCTCGAAAACAAATGTGAAATGGTACTGTTTGCAAGAGAGTGGTGTGTCTAGAGACTGCACTTACAAAGTGTCTGCCCTTCTGTTCATTGTTGAAGCAAAAAAGAAAGCCAGTGAGGAGCTGGGAGAGGCCCGATGTGTCTGGGAGGCCCTGCAAAAGGAACTGGACTCACGTATGTAAACTGGCTGTTGCCCAGAAGCAGCTGCAGCACCTCTAGCTTCCCTGGCCTGGATACTCCAGTTACTCAGCCCTGCCCCTCCTCCCTTTCCCCTCTGCTGACATAGTACCCTCCCATCTCACGCCATACACAGAGGGCCTTGTTGGGATTCTCCATAATTCCACAGATCCTTTTGTACAGATCCTTTTGCCTCACATTGTCACTCAAGATCTTCCGTCTTCTACACATGCCCCTTCCTGTTTGATGCATTTGTTCATAGCCCTCATCCCATTTCATGTGGGCTATTTATTTTCTTCTGTGCTTTTCATTTTATTCCATAGAGTCCTCACAACCACCCTTAATAAATGTCAGAATTCCTCAATATTTACAGGGAAAGTGGGCACAGAGGGGAGAGGCTTATGTTTGGGCTGGAGCCAGGGTAGTACTTAATCTTCAGTGTGACGTTGACCAGCCAGTTCTTGAGAGTTTGATGAGTCATTCCTGATGTCTGAAATTTTGCTGTGTCTTCTAGTGCATGGAGAGAAAATACGTGTGAAGGAGATCTTGAGCAAAAACCAAGGTATTTACAGATTTTCAGTCTCCAGGCTTTTAAATTTGACACCTGGAAGCAACTCTGTCTGTAGCAGCTGAAGGCGTTTGATACCTGCCTCAGCCTCTAATGTCACTCACTGTCCATGGACCTGGCCTGCTCTGGTCCTGTTCTGACAAGCCCGCAGACTATTGCTTTCTCTACAGAGACCCTAAGAATCCTCCGGCTGCACTGCAAGGAGAAGGAAAGTGAGGCACAGAGGTAAGAGCTTCATTTTGGTGGAGCAGAGAAAACAAAGGGGAGAAGTCTCAGACCCTGTGTACGGTGGGAGATCAAAGGGTGTTTCCCCTCGGCTGTGATGGCTGAGGGCAGTGGAAGGGCCATCCATCGTTACCAACCACGATTCTTGGCTTGTCCTCATTGCATGACTTTACAGTGGCTCCTTGGCTGTTTGCGCATTCCTCATCAAGCCACCCTTTGTCCATGTTATATGTCCTACGTCACAGACCGTGGCACACTGAAGTTGAAGTGTTTGGGGGAAATTATGGTGTTGATGTGCATGTGCATGAGCATTTGGCCATGCCTCTTGTTCTCCCTGAACCTCACAATACTTCGAGGAAGCAAGTGCTCCTGTCACACTCCAACCATCACTGTTTTCCAGAGCAGGACCTCAGCAGACAGGGACAAAACCCTCAGAGCAGGGAGCCCATCAAGGGAATTCTGAGGATGCCTTTTCCCTTCCCAGGAAACACACCATGTTGCAAGAGTACAAGGAGCGGATATTTGTCCTGAACTCCCAGATTGAGGAAGAGAAGAACAAACAGAGGCAGCTGAGGTAAATCTAATGCCTACAGCCAGGGGCAGTCAGATGGACTATAGATGAAGATAGTATCAGGATTACAAGTTGACTGAGTGGAGCGTTGAAGTGCCAAGCCCCAAAGTCTGCCTGAGTTCACTTGGTCTTGGCCAGGCTTTGGGAGTCTGTGTCCATGGCCTCCTGTGCCTATGTTTGACCCCCAGGTTGAATTTTGAGGAACAGTTGGAAGATCTGATGGACCAGCACAAGGACCTGTGGGAATCCCATGTGAGTCACTCAAAGCCATCCATCCCATCTTCTATGTGTCCTCTAGCAGCACCAAGCCTTCTTCCTGAGCAAGTCCTCAGGACCTTAATGTCAGTATTACCCTCAACTCACTAGTGACCTCATCGCCAATCTTGCCCATCCATCCTGCTGCAGTCCTGGGTCTGTTTAATGCAGTTTGACAAGGATGGGGTTCATGAACACACATAGGGCTTTCATGGATACAGACAGTTAATGGGAACCAAGAAGAAATCAGGGAATGAAAAACAGGAAGGATTGCATGAGGAAAGAGAGACACTGCAGTGCTGTGCTTGGCTGGTCAGAGAGCAGTCCCCATGGCAGTGGTCTCAGGACTCTGATCCCAGGGCCACTGTCAATGCTTGAACAATCACTGAACATCACCAGTTATGTGAGTCCTCTACCACAGAATTGTGTGTGGTAGCTGGAGTGGAGGACATCCTTGGGGAGGGAATGGCCAGTACACAGGCCCTAAGGCTGGACTACAGCGGGTGTGCATGGTGGAGCCGAGTTGGAGGAGGGGAGGCTGAGTAAGGGAGTGACTGAATTAGGGCAGCATTCTCTGAAGTGTGTAGATGGGGGGTGTGTAGCCAGCAGGTGTAGACAGGCCTACTTTCTGACCCTCAGAGGCCAGAGCGACTGGCAAGAGAGATCTGTGCCCTGGACAGCAGCAAGGAGCAGCTTCTCAAGGAAGGTAAGACCCATGGAGGAGGGTGGCCCTCAGCAGCCCTCCTGTGCTCATTCACATCTTCCTGCTGCAGAGAAGCTGGTGGAGGTGAAGCTACAGGACGTGAAACATCGGCTGTGCTCGCTGTGTGGTGCTGAGGGACCCTCCACCATTGCTGAGGGTCTCTTTCTTCGTAGCCAGGAGGCCGTAGCAGCAGTGTAAGCTGTGGGGTGTGGGCCAAGAATGGGCGATGGCTGTTCTGACCCTGCTCCCTGGCCTACAGGCAGCTATTTCAGGAGGAGAACAGGAAGGCTGAGGAGCTGCTGGAGGGCAGTGCCCAGCATCACCAGCAACTGCAGCAAAAATGCCAGCAGCTGCAGCAGAGGCGACAGAGGTGAGCATGTGGCACCATGCACTAACCCTTGCAGGAGAATGAGCAGGGCACTCACTTCTGGGTCTTCTCATCCTCCCATCTTTCCTCCATTCCTCTCCTCCCTCATTCTACCTGTTCCTGTCCAGACTGAAAGAGGAATTGGAAAAACATGGAGTGCAAGTCCCTGCCCAAACCCAGAGCCTGCAAGAACAGGAGGCTGCTCTGGAAGAGGTGGTGAGCCCCAGAATGAGCAACAGGGAGGCAAGGAGGCTTGCAGAGGGGCGATGGGAAAGAGGAGATGGGAAGGATCCTGAGAATGATTGGTGGATGTGTCAGAGAACCAATGGTCCTGTGGAGAATACAGGTGTGGAGGCCTGGCAGCACGGGGTACCCTGGAGGAGCAGTATGGAGACACTCCAGTCCTGATCCTGATACCCTGCAGGCCATTCCGAAACCTGTGGAAGCTCATGAGGAGAATGGCATGGAGCAGAGCCTGGGGCCCTTGTAGACCAGAAGGACACACCTCACCTGAACAGCAGGAAATAAAGGAGATAGTTTGCTACAGCCTGCCTCAGCTGAGTCGTGGGGGGAGAGGGGATGTCTAACAAGCCCCGCCCCCAAAACACACACACCACGTCTCTGACACAGATGAAGTGTTAACCTGACTCTGCCTTTTGGCCTGGGTTAGGGTCCGACTGCGGTTCCTAATAAGTGCTTGAGGGAACCTCTGATCTCTAGACTACTCTGGCACAGATACAGGCCTGAGACCCTCTGACATGGGCACCACCCTGTGCCAGTTACATGGTTCTTTTCTGTGGGCCTGGACTGCACAGATTCTCAGAAATAAATGAGGACTAGGGAGCTGGGACCCAGCGCCAGTCAGTTCCACAGAAGTCCAGCTGACAAGTGTAGCTTGAGCTCTGAGGAACACAACATATAACCAAAGTGGGTGTTAGCAAGAATATAGCCTATATGTCTGAGTTCCTCTCTGTAGCAATTTAATGAAATGGTACTTAAATTCTGTGCATCTGAGGCAAGTTTGAAATAAATTCAAATGCATTAACCCAATTAAAACCTGTGGCACTCCTGTGTCAGAACACTGAATTCAGTGCAGAGATTTCTCTTTAAAGGCTTAAGGAACAGGGGTGAGATGGGAGGGAGACACCCACCTAACTCTATACTAACACTTTCCATTCAAGAATGAAAGAACATGGCATGGTGGAGAAATTCTGCTGGCCAGGCAGCAAACAACTAGGCCTGTGAGTTAAATTATACCCAGGTTGTAAATGAGCTGGCTCTGTAAAATGCCACTTGGAATATTCATTCCCACAGCTCCACTTCCCGATTCCAGGTTTCTCCTAATGTACATCCTGGGAGGGGGTGGGTGAGGTGAGCTGATGGGTCAGCTTTGTCCTAGCATGGCACCAGCAGCTGAGAAAGGACACAAACCTGGCATAGATTCATCCCCAGCCACAAGCCAACAAGGAGCAAGGAGTATCCACACCTTAACTGCAAAGGACGACCTACTGCCCATTAGAGACTCCCCTAACGGGCCCAGGATAACTGATACATGACCTTCCTGAAGAGGCAATAGTGACACTGCCAGTTTAGTGCACTGTGTGCAGAAGAAGCAAGGACACCAGCATATATCACCAAAGTGCCACATGGCAAGGAGATGAGCCAGAGCCTGGGAGTAGCCATACCTCCCCACTCCAATAAAAAATCCCGGTTCAGCTCCTATCAGCAAAACCTCTTCCAACTGTGTACTGCAACATCAGCCCCCAGTAAACACTCTTTCCATTGCAAGGGAATTCAAGATTCTCAGACATTCCAGGCATTTGAGGAAATGAACAAGCTTATGGAAGCTTTGTCTTTCTGTTTCACAAGTAGATAACATTTTTATATAATTGATAATACCATGCCAAAATAATTCATATCCAGAAACTACACAACGTACGGAAGGGCAATAAAGGTGTCACATCTAAACGCTACAATTCTGGCCCAACACAATAGCCTACTGGCTAAAATCCTTGCCTTGCATGTATTGGGATCCTATATGGGCACCGGTTCATATCCCAGCTGCTCCACTTCCCATCTAAATCTCTGCTTGTGGCCTGGGAAAGCATTAAATCCTTGGAACCCTGCACCCATGTGGGAGACTGGGAAGAAACTTTTGGTTCCTGGCTTCAGATTGGTTCAGCTTCAGCCATTGTGGCCACTTGGGGTGTGAACCAGCAAATGTAAGATCTTTGCCTCTCCTCTCTGTAAATCTGACTTTCCAATAAAAAATTTTAAAAGCTACAGTTTAAATTCATAATTAGGAGGATGCTTATATATAAGCTCTCATTGACTCACCCCCCTCACATACACATGATGAGTAAAAGATTCAATAAAAAACAAAAAACTCAACTATAAATAGAAGGGGAATTCCTTCCTGTTTTATTGGTGAGATATTTAAAGCACTTTATGTTAGAACCAGATCAAGAATATGTGCTACAGTATATTCATCCATAGATAATATTCATCCATAGAGGTCCTAGACAGTTAAGGACATCAGAAATTGTAACCATGTACTTGAAAAGCCTAAATGAATCTGAAAATAAGTTTATAAACAGATAAATGATTATAAAAGTTTTCTGTTGAGGGTCAATATTTAAAAATTGTGTGTGAGTGGGCCCAGCGCGGTGGCCACTAAAGTCCTCACCTTGAACGTGCCGGGATCCCATGTGGCGCCGATTCTAATCCCAGCAGCTCCACTTCCCATCCAGCTCCCTGCTTGTGGCGTGGGAAAGCAGTCAAGGATGGCCCAAAGCCTTGGGACCCTGCACCCACATGGGAGACCCGGAGGCGCTCCTGGCTCCTGTCTTCATTTCGGCTCAGCACCAGCCATTGCAATCACTTGGGGAGTGAATCTTCAGACAGAAGATCTTCCGCTCTGTCTCTCCTCCTCTCTGTATATCTGACTTTCCAATAAAAAAAAAAAAATACATCTTAAGAAAAGATATATTGTACCCTTTCCTAGTTTCTCACAATACGTGATTTGTAGAGAATAAAAACAGGTATAAAAGCATATGATGTGAGCAACATTGTGGAACGGTGGGTTAAGTCACCACCTGAGACACCAGCGTCCAATACTGGAGTTTGGTTTAAGTCCCAGCTGCTTCACATTTGGTCCGGCTCTCTGCTAATGTGCCTCAAAAAGCAGCAGAAGATGGCTCAAGGCTTTGGGCTCCTACATCCCCTACATGTGGAAGCCCAAATGGAGTTCCGGGTTCTCAGCACCCTGGTAGCCAAGCCCTGCTAGTGCTAACCCACTTGGATGGACAGGAAGGCAGCATGAGGCATTTCAAAGTAGGAAGGTCCACTGACAACAGCCCCTGCACTAGAAACTCAATTCAGACAAGCCCTTCCAGCCTGTTTGAAACTGAAAGAACAGCCCTGGGTGTACTCACCCTGAGTCTACTTCCCTGACCAGTGGCTGACTTTTTTTTTAATATAATCTTAACATAGTTAATTAGGGCACAAAAGTTCAAGGGCTACAGGAAAGTGGGTAACACTATTATCTCCACATTTTTTCCCCTGTATCTGGGGTAAAGGGGGAGATAAAGGGAGAAGCCCCATCCAGTCTCCCACCCATCCCAGGTCCCTGATGTGGGGCATGCTCTGAGGGCCTTGCTCAAGTGGTATTGATAGTTCAACAGTTGTGAATTGCTGCCAGTCTCACCATTCCAAGCATAATGAGGTCGCTGCAGAATCCACTGATTGACATAGTCCACCTTAGAGTCTCCATTTGTCCAGTTTTTCACTGCCAACATATGGCTGGGGTAGCTGATTAATTTGTTTTGTCCTCTGTTGTGGTGCCAGGTGTCCTCTGCAGGTTCCGATGGACTGCCATATCCTCCATGCGCACCTGGTTATGCTCTTCACTGCTCCGTCTGAGCCTCTTAGCAGGCTCAGCTCTGGCACTTGCACTCCATGGCAGACCATGGAACCTGCACTTCTCTTCATGATTAGGGTCCTGAGCGGCAGTTTGATTGGGGAGATCCCAAAAGAAACTGAGGTGATCCCAGACCAGATTCTTGTGTGTACTTGCAAGTACAGGGCCCGGTATAGTTCATCACCCCAATCAGCTGGTGGTTGCAATTGCTGGGTTGGTTCTGTTTCCAGCCCTCTCTTCCACTGGAACCAATGGGTGTTGCAGTCCAGCCTGATTCTGCCCAGCACACACTCGGCCCTCACATAAACCCGTGGGAGCTGCAGTCTAGTCAGAGCAACTCACAATAACCCCCACCAGGCCTGCCCCCTGCCCTTGTTCCCATGCTTGCCATTATGTGCAGCAGACTAGTTCAGTCTGTTCCACATCCCATTCAGCTCTCATACATGTCAATGGGCTTTGAAGCCTAGTTCAACCTAACCAGCTCCACTATCCAGCCCATACACATGCTGTTAGGTGCCTTTCTGTCTAGCCACCCCTCCCTGTCCTGGTTTTCGTGCTGTCCAGTGGGAGTGATAACCCAAAAGGGAGGAGCCCACTATTTCCCTTCTAGTCCACTCCCAGATTATGCACTCTCCAGGTGGTTCTGGGATTTAACTTGACAGATTTAGCCTCCAGTGCCATCCGTGGCTTTTCTAACCAGCTGGACTCATTAGCTGTGGGATGACCTGGATGCTTGAGGGCAGTTTCCCACATGGGTGACGGGCTCAAGTACCCGTGCCATCTTGTGCTGCTTTTCCAGACCATTAACAGAGAATTGTATCCGAAGTGAAGCTGCAGGGGCAGGAAGTGGCACCTACAGGGAACACTGGCATCACAGAGCCAGCTCCAAATTCTCAGAAGCTGTATGCATGCTTTTCACGAGACCCAATGCTTTTATCTTTGCATTTTCTTGAGTAAAAAGAAAGTGCATCCACACTGATTTTTGTGAGATAATTGGCAGTGTCTTTTTTCACAATACACATATACACAAACAAACAAAAAAAAAACTTGAAGACCTTAAGTGCCATGGATAATAAATTAAGATACACTCACACAAAGAAATGACACTCAGCAACAAAAAGAATGGCAGTGCTGGCCCACGTGGGCCACAGCAACAAGGTCTTGGACATTCTGTTGTGACTGTGCTGGTATCTTCATGACAGTACACAGGTGAAACAGCACATCATGTAGCTCAAACTGATGAGTTTTACTGCATAGAAACTACGTTTCAGTGACACCATCAGAAAATAAAAACCTGGTAAAAGGGAGTTCTCAGGGTAGGGGTCACTGAATATTGCCCACAATTCTAGACTTCATTTTGCTGTCATTAGGCTATTTTGACATATATCTGGAATTGTAATTCTGGAAATTAGGTTTTGTTGAGTGTGTGCAGCATTTGTTTATGGGAAAGCAGAAGTGGGGCTGCTTGCCTTTGCAGCTGCCATGGCAGATACGAGGCGTCATCACCGCCTTGTCAGGGTCCTCTGGGCTCCAGGTATGCTCCTTCATTGAAAGAAGGAAACTGAAGTCCCTACCTAACTGGGCTGACACTCCAGTTCTTCCCACTGCATTGCACTGCCACCAAGATACACCTATTGTGAGCATGACATGGCCATTCAGAGGGACCAAGGGCCAGTGACAGATGAAGGAGCATTGCACAGGGGACTGTGGCTGGGGTTTGCAACACCACCAGCTGTGAGAAGTAAGAGGAGCAGGTCCTTCTGAGTCACTGAGGGGTGCTGGGACCAATGCAATGGCAAGGGGCACATTCCCAGCCTCCACACATGTGGGGTTAGGGTCATAGGTGGAGACACCCATGTCACGTGGCCGTACAGCCTGGGGCCGAGGAAGGCCACGGCCAGTAGGTGGGAGGGAGCCAAGCTGCACATCCCTTCCCAGCTGTCCTTCTCCTTTATTTCTCCACCCCCTTGTAGACTTCTGTACCTCTTGTTTTGAAAAAAAAAGGGCCTTAGACCAGGATTTTTCAGGTGATATTTCCAGTGCCCACCCTTGAGGAGTAACACCTACACTGTTCTGCATCTGGGCAACCGCGAGTGAGTACAGACTGGGACTTAGGTGATCAGAAGTGAGGCCTTCATCTCAACAATTACCCTCAAAGACACCCACACTCCCTCTCAGCATTCCCCATCACTGTGTGGTACACTAGAACTTTCCCCGAGAATTCAGAAGGCATTTATATACATTTTCTGCTAGAGAAGGTCTTGTCACCTTGCAGAAGTAGAAAATAAAAAATAGCACCTGTCCATATGCCAGCTGGTCTTCCAATGCATTAATGTGCCCATCTTCTGACTTGATTCTAGCCATGCCCTACAGTGGGTGAGCTAGGAGAACAATGCCCCCAGATACCTCCACCCTAAATCCAAGGACTGATATAGTGTAAGCAATTTGAATGGGAGGTTGAATTCAAGGTCTTGAGATGGGGAGGACACCTTGGTTTGTCCCTTCTAAGAGGGAGGTAGGAGGGCCAAAGAGAGATAGAAAGATGCTGCACTATTGGCATGTGCTGTCACTCACTTTATTAAAGAGAACTTTACAGAGAATGTGTGGTGTGCCAGGAAGGGTTTGTCGACCTGACCCCCTTGGCCTCGTGCAGACACAATGGAGGAAGCAGCAGTGTCTCTGTGATCTGAGGAGAGCTGGGGGGCTGAGACATTGGGGTTGGGGGCAGCATCTGGGGAGTCCACAACTGCGTTTTAGCCAAGTCAGAGCAGGAGACACATTATGAGCCCCTATCTACAACACTGATGTTTAGCTCACTGGGAACTTTCTGTGCTTTCCTCATTCTTGTTTCACAGCACACTAGGGTCCCTCTCCTTCCAGACACAAAGTTAAGTTCTAGTATTAAGAGATCAGCGCAGATGTTGACGTTCAGACCAACTGCAATGTCTATGGCCATGGTCACTGTGCAGCCGAGGGAACTCACCCCAAGGCTAAACTGCATTATTCTGTTTAACTCAGCGAAGCACTGCCCCTGCTCCTTGCAGTTGGTGCTGTGTCTGATGGCTGCATCACTGCATGTTTTCAGAAGTTATTTCAATTTCAGAATGAGTTCTTCACTGTTTCTAGGAGATTTAAACCGATCCAGAGTTTCACACAATGTATTTGTGAAAACCTTAGGCTGTGTTTTCCCATGCCTGACCCCTCAGAGACTACACTACGCTGTACACAAAGATGCTGGGGAAGTGGGGAGGGTGCTACCCCTGAGAGCGGGGGATGAGACAGAGCTTGTAGTGAGGAGGGACGCGGCCAAAGCCGATTGCAGTGTTACTGAGGTCCAGGTCCTTGGGGTCCACCACAGACTTCAGGTTGAAGTGCTGCAGGATGGCGGAGAGGAGCAGAAATAACTCCATGCGGGCCAAGCCCTCCCCAACGCACACTCGTTTCCCTGCAAGAAAGCATAGCACCAGTGATATGCTGCTTGGAGCACTGCCATGAGACAGTGTATAAAAGGCCAGGGAAGGAGGCTGTGGAGGACAGTGCACTCTGCCCCCAGAAGAGCATGTTGAGGAGACGAGAAATGCTGGCTTGTCCAGCAACCAGTCCTCACACAGCACCCACCATTCAGAACTTGTCTACAAAAACACATGTATGGCTGGGAAATGGGCTCTGCCCAGCAAAGAATGCCAACCCAATGCCCACACCATAACCTGCAGTGATGAAAGGGGCAGGGTCACCACTGCAGCATTATCAGCTGCTGGCAGTCTCCCCTCATCCGTACCCAAAGCAAGGCCCCAGGAAGGGCCAACAAGCACACTGGGGAAGGCTCGAGGCTCCCTATTGCCAAGTCCAGGGAAGGCCAGAGCTGTTTAATGACCCCTGTTTAAAATGGTAGCGAATTAGGCCAGTGGTTTTGAAAGACCTTCATTAAATCCCACTAAGGAGTTTGACAATGACAGATGGGCTGGCATTGTGGTGCCACAGAGCACTCCCAGCATTCCACAACAGAGCACCAGTCCGAGTCCCAGCTGCCCACTTCCCACCCAGTTCCTGCTCACACACCTGAGACAGCAGCAGAGGAGGGCCCTAGCTTCAGCCTGGCCCAGCCCTAGCCATTGTGGATTGCAGCCATTTGAAGAGTTAATCAGCTGATGAACAATTTTTCTCTCTCTCTCTCTCTCTCTCTCTCTCTCTCTTCCTCCCTCCCTCCCTCTCTCTCTATCAATCTGCCTTTCAAATAAATCACTCTTGCAAACAAATGACTGTAGCAAAATGTCCAGCCTGTGGGAAAAGAGTTCATGCCCCACCCCACCTTCCCTGGGCTTCTGGGCAAACATGAGTTAACTCCCCTACACAGGAAGAGCTCCCCTGGGACTCTGTGTGCGCATGTGGTAGAGTGAAGGGCTAGGAGGTGACTCCCAAGGCCGGGTGTTGCCTCCACACTGTCTTACCTGCAGAAAATGGCTTGAAATAGTCACTATACTTGAACTTCCCCTCCTCATTCAGAAAGTGCTCTGGTTTGAACTTGTCTGGTTCAGGGAATTCCTCTTTGTCATATAAAAGGGAATCCAGAGTTGGAATTAGAACTGTCCCCTGGAAGAAGCACAGCCATGGGCAGGTTAGGGCAGTGTAGGCCTTTCTCCGGGGCTCTGGAAGGAGGCTGTTGGACCCGTATCTTTCACAACTGAAGGGACAGCTAACAAACAGGATCAGGCCCAAAGGGAGACAGAAGTCCTGATGGCTTCACAGGACCCACTGCAGGGTGGGTTGACTGCTGTTCATCCTACAAACTCAGGCAATAGGCAGCTTTCCCCACTTCCCCTGTTCCCCACCTCTCAGCCATAGCCATAGCCATGCAAAGCATGCCCTGGGATACCCCCACTGCCTTCCCCACTCCTGCTTCCTTGATCCAGTGATGAGCCGACAGGTAGCATTACCATGACCCTGGCACCCAGCCTGACCTTGGGGATGACGTAGCCTCTGAAGGTGGTGTCCCGGTTGGCCTGGTGTGGCAGGTTGGAGGGCACAAGGTCGATGAATCGCTGGATCTCATGCACAACAGCGTCCGTATAGGGCATCTGCAGCCGGTCCTTGACAGAAGGCAACCGGCTCGGCCCAACCACCCTGTCGATTTCTTCATGAAGCTTTTCTGCAAGGTGTAAGAGACTCCTAGAGGACAAGCTCCAAGGAACCCTACCCAATTTTCAGCACCCTTTTACCCACCCACCTCCCCAACATCCTTTCACTTCAACAGGTCTCCACAGAAGCTCATGAAGCACCCTAAGAAGGTTGGCCACCAAGCCCAGTGACAGCTGAGCCTGGGTGCTATTTCCATCTACAGGAAGCTGTGGTGTGTGCTGTCTCACGTCATGATGCTCCCCTGGCTCTTCTCCACTTGATAGGGATAGAGAATGACAAAAACCCTTAGGGAGAAACCTTGGCACTAACTATGCCCTTGGTGTGTTTGCTCTGAGCATCAGATGTGCAGTTGGCTGGAAAGACACAGCAGCCTCCAACTCCAGTGAACATTCTGGGGAGCATGCTGGAGCAGCGTGTCTGGTGTGGCACCCAGATGAAGCATGAGGACCCACACAACCTGGCATGATCATGTGCATAGATCACATATGCAGTGGGCACAGCATTCCCCTGGGAAGAGGGTGGGACATGTGGAGACACTTGGAGACACGTGAGGACATGTGGGGATGTGTGGGGTGTGGGAGACTATGGGCATGCCACTCTGTGACAAGTTTTCTGTGAAGCCCCCAGGAGTCAGCACCACACAAGGGGGTCCCGTAAGAATATGCTCCAAAGTTCTCCTGCAATACTACTCCCACAGGCAGATTGTAAAAAATAAATAAATAAACAAGTGCGACTTGATAAAGAAGAGCAGGACAGACTGTGTCTGGAGTCTTGAGCTCACAGACTGCTGGTCTCAGGACTGCGGTCAAACTCAGTGGGCAATGGCCCACAAGTGGGCAAAAGTCCAAGGGCAAGATCGAGGCCTGCAGGCAAGGGTCTGCAGCTGGGCCAAAGACACAGGGCTGTGTGTTTTTTGATATCCTTGAGACAGTTATATCCTGACTTCTGAACTTGGATCTTGCTGTTGCTTCCTGATCAGCAAGCATTGGTTGGTTAGCATCAATATGGGACGGAGCTATCAACATTGGTGCCACATCAACTTCCTAATTTGACTGCCCAAGCAGTTCGATAAAAGATAGAGACAGCTTTTTCAGAGAAGGGGGCTTCCCTCTGGCAACCCGCTTTCAAAGTCTTTATCTTACGTCTGTCTCCATCCCTGGCCAGTCGCATGGATCACAGTAGCAACTAATCTGTAAAACATCCCCCTCTAATGTCAATGAAGTAGTTACAGGATGTGGTTAAGAACTTGGATTTTTTTTTAACATACTCAATACCATGTCAATTAAATACATGCTGTTGTAAATTGTTGTTGAAATTGTGTAGAGGCTTTTCACTGGAGAGGATGATATTCTGCCAGCCCTACTTTCAGACCAGGGATGGTTCCCCAATGAAACTGTTGGATTTATCTGGACAATAAGATGCTGGACTATCTGCATGATCCTTGCCCGCAATGAAGGAATCATGACCGGTTATAATCTGGCACTACTGTAACAATATGGAGGAATTCAATGTGGGGGGAGGGTTTGGGGGAATCCCAGAGCCTATGAAACTGTGTCATAAAATGAAATAAATGTAGTTAAAAATTTTTTTTTAAATTAAAAATCCCCTCTAAGGGTCTTTGTCCCTTTTCCTCTCTCCTTTTCTGTCTTGCAAAGAGCAGAGAGAGAACTGGCCTTTACAACCAGAACCACCTGTTCAATCCTACAGCATCAGTTCCCAGGAGCAGGCAACATGGCGAACGCTGAGCGCACTTAACTGGAGCCATGTGGTGGCTAGCAGCAGTTGCACACAGCAGCAGTAGGCCACAGAGCAATAAGAAACCACACAACTTTCCAGAAAACAGGGTACCCTGATGTGGTGGCCACCCTTCACTTCCTCTCAGCTAGAGGTCATCTCCTCAGCCTGGGAACATGTGGGTGCCCTTACAAGATCTCTACTGAGCCAGGAAACATGCTTTCTGGAGCTTGGAAAAATAATGTGTGGGCCCAGACCTCCTCACCTGCTCTGACACCACGTCTTTTACTGCCTACAAAGCTCACCAATCTATCAGATCACCCCTGGACTGCTCACTCAAGTACCCTACAGCCCCTTACACTGTAGGACAGCCATGGACTGGTGTCCCAGGTCCCCCCACTCTTGGTGCTTCCCCGGAATCCCCACCACCCAAAGGGCTGACAATATACAGCATTTAGCTGACAAGCTGTCGCCTAGCGAACCTTCAACCTCTGGGTGCTTCAGCAAGATCAGGAGCCCATAGCGCAGGGTGGTGCTGGTGGTCTCCGTGCCCGCAAAGAATAGGTCAGCCGCAGTCACAGAAATATTCTCTGTTGTGTACAAGGGCTCTGTGCTGTGCTTGTCCTGAGAAAGTAGAAACAGAGAGGGACCCAATGAGAGGGCATCTCAGGTTGGTCAGAACCCCTCAGTTTTGCAGGGGGAGGGGCAGTTGTGCCTGGTGGTACCCAAAGAGATGACTGGGAGCATGTCCACCTAGTCCACCTCATCTACCTCATTGTGGGGACACCAAGGATCCTAGGAGACAAATGGGGGCAGCACCAGGCCCTGGCCCAGGCCCTGGGATCCATTCCCAGAGCAGAGTGACACATGCCTGGCCATGGGACAGCCCCTGAGGACAGCTGGGTGACAGAGGTTGGTATCTCCTCCTTTCTGTCCAGACCAGTGTCTTGATTGCAGGGAGACTGGGTGGAGGTGTCCTCACCACCAAGGCGACCCTAGCTGGAGGTGTCCTCATCCCAGAGGGACCCCAGCTGGAGGTGCCCTCATCCCAGGGGACCCCAACTGGAGGTGTCCTCATCCCAGGGGACCCCAACTGGAGGTGTCCTCACCACCAAGGCGACCCCAGCTGGAGGTGTCCTCATCCCAGAGGGACCCCAGCTGGAGGTGTCCTCATCCCAGTGGACCCCAGCTGGAGGTGTCCTCACCCCAGGGGACCACGAATGGAGGTGTCCTCATCCCAGGGGACCCCAGCTGGAGGTGTCCTTTGTCCCTAGGGAGCTGGGTGGAGGTATCCTCATCTCCAGGGGGACCTGGGTAGAGGTGTCCTTTGTCCCTAGGGAAGCTGGGTGGAGGTGTCCTCATCCCAGGGGGATCTGGGTGGAGGGGAACTCCAGATGGCCCTGGAAGCTGTCTAGGAGTGGTCAGCATGACTGATGGCCACAGTTGTCATAAAGGACAAGTAAGGATGCAAGGGGCCATAGCAATCTGAGCCAGAGGCAGTGCTGGGGCTGCAGATGCAGAAGTGGGAATGAGAGCCACTAAGGGGTGCTGGGGGCTTCTCCTCAGGTGAGGATCCTACACATTAAGCAGATAAGACCCCAGGTACCCCCCACCTTTGCTCCTGAGCGGAACACAGGGATGCTGAAGCATTTGTGTGGACTCAGGAGCAGAAAGCATGGCCCCTGAGATAGTGTGGATGCCCCCAAGTGGGCCACAGCCTACACCGGGGACCCAGCCATGCGAGGGCGGGGGTGGGGGTGGGCACCTTCTCCATCTCCATGAGCAGACAGTCGAGGAAGTCCCGGGGGCAGTTGGGGTCCAGCGACTTCTGGTGCTCCTTTACTCTGGCCAACGTGTACTGTCTTATCTCAGACACATTTTTCATCAGCTTCCTGTGGCTTCCAGGCAGGTAGTGCACATATTTTGAAAAGTTATTATAAACCTTCATGGGGAGAGAGAGAGACTGTCACCAACACTTCCTTCTGAGCATGACGTAACGTTCTGTGCTGGGCAAGTCAGTCCTCCACACTTGAACTGGCCCAGTGTCAAGTGTGCCGTGTGCCCACCGCAGCAAGTCCTGTGCTTGGGAAGAGGGCATGGGCACCCACAGTACCCCTCAGATAGATGAGTCAAAGCTCGGGCATGGGTGGGCCCCTCTACACTGCATGACCTGAATCCTGCTCCTCCCTGTTTCTAAAAGAAACTACAAAAAGAAATCAGTGGGAAGGAGGGGCCTCACCTGGAGCCAGGGCGTGCTGAGCAGGTAGAAGTTCTCGTTGAACAAGCTCATTAGCCGCAGCGCCTGCTTGTCCTGGTAGTCAAAGCGATAATTGAAAAGGATGTCCGAGATGACATTGAAGGGCGCACAGCCCACAATGTAGGTGGGGTCGAAGGGCTGACCTGGAAGACAGGGGTCACAGGATGTGACAGGGACAGACTGGTGGGCTAACAGCCCCTGTGGGTGTTGGGGGGGGAGGCGGAACATAGGTGGCTGGCAGTACCCTGGGCGTGATCACGAGGAGACAAGTGGCTCATATCTCTGTGGGCATGGGGAAAAGTCTCTCTGATGACTTCTCCACTCCCAACCAGGCTGCTTGGTGGTCCCATAATTTACTGACAATTGACAAAGGGGGTGTATGAGCCCCTGGAGGGTTCTTTCCCCCGTGGCTCCCCTGACAGATGACGCCGGCTATAAGATGTCTCCCTTACCCCGCCACCTGGGGCCCCTGGAGGTTACGCACCCTGCGTCTTCCTCAGCTCCTGCACCAGGAAGCCAGCTTCCTTCTGGATCCGGTCCTCATTGCGCTGTTTCCCCATTCCGTAGTCCCGGAGGGTGGTCAGGGAGAACCGCCTGGTGTCCTTCCAGGTGGGTCCATTGTTGAAGATAATCCCTAAGGAGGGGCCAGCTCTCAGGAGGGGCCAGACGTAAGGGGAGGGGTAATCCTCAGGTGGGAGGAGCAGAACATAAGGGGAGAGGCCAGCAGGAGCGGGGGCAGACATAAGGGGAAGGGCCATCCTCAGGAGGAAGGGGCAAAGAAAGGGGGCTGCTCAAGAGGAAGAATGAGCCCTAAGGAAGCTCACACACACCTAGGACTGGGAGGCACTGACCAGTCTGATCTCTCTCTCTTTCACACATACATACACACACACACACATACACACACCCAAGACTGTGGGGCACTGACCAATCTACACACACACATACACACCCCTGAGACTGTGGGGCACTGACCAGTCTGATCTCTCTTTCACACATACACACACACACACACACACACACACCTGGAACTGTGGGTACTGACCACAGTCTCCTCACACACGTTCTAAGGCTCTCATCTTGCCCATTCCATAGACAGGTCAGTCAGGGTCGCGTATGTCAGAGGAGCTTGCCTTTGGAGATCCCAAGCACAGGGACCATGCAGTGCTCTTCAGCTAACCTGGGTGCAGATAAGCGCCGTACTGCTGCTCCACTGAGACCAAGGGTTCGACCAGGGTCATGTGCACCCTGTCAGGTTGCCCAGTGCCCGGGATGCACACTCACCCATGTCCTTGTGCTCTGTGAAGGCCGGGATTTCGCCGCGCCCCGAGAACTCATTCTTGTGGTTCAGCAGCACCTCCTTCACCGCCTTGTAGCCATGCAGGACCACCACTCGCCTTGAGCCCAGGTACACAGTGAACACTGGCCCATAGCGCTCAGCCAGCTGTGAGGGCCAGCGTGAATGGGGTGAGCCAGTGCAAATCAAGGAGCCCACCCTGCCCTGGTCCACCTTGGGAGCACCCACCACCTCCCATGGAGGACCCTGAGGAGAAGCCATCTCCTCCCAGCCCAGAATGGGACCTCTGCTGGTATCCACAACCCAGCTGCCCACCTGGACACATCAGCGCAGTCCCAGAGGTCACATAGGCACTGCTGATACTGTCATCCCATGGTCTGGGCCCCCAGCTAAAGTCTCAGACCCCAGGGCTGCAACTGACCTGGAGTCGGGGTCCCACCACTGTATGCCATGTGGCTGCCACTGGATGCCATGGCCAGTCCTGAGCAGGGAATTCTCTGCCTTCCCTTACCAGCCCACTGAGGGCTGAGGCCTGCTCAGAGCCTGCTCACTGTGCTGACAGTCACATGGCAGTTGAGTTAGGGGTTATTCTGGCACAAGCAGGCTGGCCTAACTCTTGGCTTTTAAGGCTGTCCTCTGGCCCCACACAAGCTGACATCCTGTTGAGCACACTGGTCACGGACGTACTGTGCTGCTTGAATTATGTTGCCCATAGCAATGTATGAGCCACACCAGCCTGCCTGAGGGTGCTCCAATGACTAGGCCTGGGCAGAGACTCCAGGGCCTGCCCAGGCCAATGCCCATCCTGTATGCTTGGCACCCAAGCTGTACTGTCAGCTAATCTGTCTTAGCCCTGGAGGATGTGTCAATCCAGTAGTTCAAGACCAATTAGTACTAAGTTACAGCAGCTTACTGGACTGTGAATGTCCATCAGACCTTTGCTTCATGATCCCCAAAGTGAACCATGTTGCTTACCCTGCCGAGGGACTTGGGAATGTCCTTCAGATCCAACTGCAGGAGATTCCCAATGATGGGGAGTGGGAAAGGCCCTGGGGGCAGGTTCCAGCTGCTGTGGATCTGCTTCCAGACAGAGACAAGCAGGAGGACAACCACCCACCCCAACAGGGCGATGGTGACGCCAAGAACAGCCATGCTGCCTTGGGGCCTGCTGCCGGCTGGGCAGGCAACCTGTGCCAGGCGGAGTCTTTATAAAGCCCGGCTGAGAAGGAGGGTGCCCTACCAACCAATAGCACCGTCCCTCCCCTTGGCCCAAGGCCCTGGCTTATTAGCAGCTCGCCACTGTTTCAAAGGTCGAGTCCTGCCATGGTGGCTCCTTGGAGGGTGCACATCTAGTTACCCAAAGGGGATGAAGTGGAGCTCTTTCGACACCCCAGTGCCTGGGAGCGCTGCACTATCCCATAGGCCAGCACACAGGGTGGGGTATGTCCTCCCCCAACTCCAGCTGGACAAGTATGTATTTCTGGGAGATTGATGCTGGCACGCGGGTGGCGGACATCCTCACCTCTGATCCCAGCTGGGCAAGTGGGTATGCTGGGAGATTTATGCCGGCACGTGGGTGGAGTGCGTCCTCACCTCTGACCCCAGCAGGACAAGTGTGTATTGCTGGGAGATTTATGCCAGCCAAACAGGGTAGACAAGTGGGTATTTCTGGGAGATTTATGCCAGTGCACAGGGTGGGGAATGACTTGCCTTCTGACCCTGGCTGGACAAGTATGTATTTATGGTAGATTTATGTAAGGCAACACAGGCAGGGTTCCAGGACTGGCCTCTCAGTTTCAGGAAGCCCCAGCCACTCAGCCAGACAAACAAGCAGGCAGAGCCTCCAGGTTCTATTCCACTTGTTCAGGTACATGCAGGGGAAAAGCAAAAAAGAGTCAGTGATTTTGAGATAGTCATTCTGATATTAAAAGACTGAGTTTTTCTTTGTAGACAGTGAGAAGATACTTTGTAATAATTGTGTCATCTGAAAAGAGTTACGTTAGAGTTTTTAATGGATTTGTTCTACTTGGAAAATTACATTTGAAGGAATCTGTTTTTTATTTAATTTTTTAATCTTTTTTTTAAGTTTATCATACAATTCTGTATAGTCTGGGATTCCCCTCCCCCCATTTTCTGCTCCCCAACTGATATTTCCCATAATCTCACAACATTTTTTTAACCTTTTTAAAAATTCTTTATTTTATGACACAGTTTAATAGGCATTGGGATTTCCCCTCCCCTACTGCTGCACACTTCCCAGGACTGCAGAAACACTCAGGCCACAGTCATCCTGTCTTTCAATAGATGCCTTTCGAAAGGCAGAATCACAGACACAGATCTTCCATTGTTTTCACTCCCTGGGACTGGACCCAGGCCGAAGCCAGGAACCTCAAACTCCACCTGAGCCTCCTGTGTGAGCAGCAGCGACACCAGTGTTTAGACCATCGTCCACTGCTTTCCCAGATGCATTGGCAGGAGGCCGGACTAGAGATGGGAGAAGTGGGAGTTGAACCTGCCCTGTGATATGCCAGTGCTGTAGGCAACAGCGTACCCGCCACATCAACACCCCTGTGAGGGGACTTGGTGGCTTACTGTGTGCTGTCTCTCCTGACCCAGCAAGCACAGAGCCCACCCTCTGCTGGTATTGCTCACCTGCAGTCACTGCTTCTTGGGATGATGCTCTCATACCCATTCTCATGTATGGGTTGTACCCAGATATTCATGCAACTGTTTTTATTACTGGAATGAAGAGATTATTTTATTGTATTCTAACTGGTAATATGGGGAAGAGCTTAATTTTCCTTTTGTTATACAGTTGAAAGTGTGATGAAAAATGAAGGCAATTAAAATCACTTACACCCAACCAGATCATTTGTGGGTTAGGGTCACGCCCTGCTATTCTTTATGTAAGCAGAGGAGCCACCCTGCACCCTACACTCCCATCTTGTTTATGCTGAGTGACATTGGTAACAAGGATAAGTCACTATTCTGCACTCAAAGTGTGGCCATGCCCCTGCTGGCATGGCTGCCTCGCCCACCCTGCTCAGACTGTTGGGGGCTCACATGCAGGGCAGCTGTCTGGGCCCTGCACCTGTTTTTTTCTCAGGCCAAGTGGGACAAACACCCATCAAGACCCACATATTTCCCTGCTGGCTCCCCTCTTCCCAGTGCCAAATGGGGCAGAGTCGGTCTCATTAGCGAGATTCAGATATTGGTTGGCTTTGGTGCTGTGGAAGGAGGAGCGGGCCCTGGCTCCCATGCTGTACCTGTGCTGCTGACCTGAGCAGAGCGTGCATGTCCAGCCAGGGAGGACGCACTTCCCAGAGCTGCAGAAACAAGCCAGTTATTCAATCAGGGTTGTCTGGGTAACACTGATGAACCCAACCAGCATGAACTCCTCAGTACACAGGTGTGTGCCTGCACCAGCCCAGTACAGGAAGTTGTGTCTTTTGAAAATAGTGAAGTTTCTGTAAACTATTTCAGAACAGGGCTTCTTTTTTGCCCTGAACTTGTAGTTGACTTTCGAACAAAGTTTGATGAAAGGTTGACCAGTGGAATGTGGTGTGTCTGCATGGTGGGTGCCTACAAGAGCTTCCAGGGGAACCACAGTGGGACATATTATTTTCCAGTTAATAGCACTATGCAGAGGCAAAGTGCTGCTTTTTTTTTTTTTTTGGCCCCACCCCCCAAAGTGCTGCTTTTATTGAGATGATTCTTTGATTTTCTCTGGTCTACTAGAACGTCTCACATGGAGGTGCTCAGAGCTCCCACTGCAAGCTTCTTGCCCATGGGGTGATGTCCTAAAGCTGAGAGGCTCCACTAACAGAATGTTAACACTTCACAACTGCAAGGGAAATTGGCCCATACTTTTTGGTGTGAGAGTTGTGCACTCTGACAGAGCTTTGCAACAAGGGTCTCTGTGGATGCACTAATAACGAACTTGATCAGCCAACAGACCTTGGAAAGATGTTCTCAACCTGAAGCAAGGAGAGTTTTGCAGATTTGGCAGTGGGAAAGGCCCTAGATTATAAACTCAACTGGAGTTGGTTGTTCACAAACATCCGAGAAGAGTCACTGATAGAAGAGCCAACATCTCTAGGAAACACCTAAAAGGGCATCTTGGACCCTCTCTGTGGGTCATACTGCAACCATGAGGGTTCAGAGCTGTGACATACAAAGAAGTGGCACAGGCATACTGGGACCTGGCTAACAGCGCAGCTGCTCGGAAGGCTCCTGGACATTGTCTGCTGTTTGATTTGGTGAAACAGTTGAGAATTATGAAACCAGGGACTTTTCAGACAGCATGTAGTGTCGAGCACTACCAAGTTACAAACGACGGCCTTGGAAGAAGCCAGGAATGCTTTCCAATCTAAACAGAAGCAGAGGTCACGCCACACGGGCGTCCCAAGGACAGGGTCATCTGGCATGGGAACAAAGCTTTTAACATCAAAAGCATGTCCTCTGGCTTCCAGCTGTCAATGCCATCTGTGTGAGCCAGAACCCTGTGTCCCCACCAACAGTTTCAGTCCCCTGGGTTCCACGTGAGCTGTGCTGATGGCCTCCAGGAGAGCTGAGGATGGCCCCCTGGGGATGGCGGGGCACCCACCAGAGGATGCCAGAGCAGACAAGAAAGGGAAAAATGCAGCAACTGCTTCTCTTTGATACGCAGAAGAGATTGTGTGAATGGTGAGTGGGATGCTCCAATGAGCCCAAACAGCCCCTGGAGCAGCCTCATCTCTCCCCTGCCACGCCTGCACACAGCTCGAGATGTGGTCTGCTTTGCACTTTTTATGGTGTTTACCTCTCTGAGTTCTGGAATTTTAAAGTGATTTCATAACACCAACACCCACTGTTATGAGTACAAGATGTACCCACACTGTGTGATAACCGAAGCTCCCCGACTTCATGGTCTCGCAGGCAGACAGGCATCAACCTCACTTGTCCACTGCTCCGAGTGTTGCTGGGGACATTTTGCACTCGGCTCTGGCTGTCTGTGAGTCACTGGTGCTATGTTCTCTGCCGAATGACGGAACGCGTTCACTACTCGCCAGCAGTGACTGTTGAGAGCCTCTCCAACCTCAGTGGTCTCCCAACTCCTGCCCATCTCATGGGGTTAGGTGTTCAATTGTGGTCTCACTTTACATTTCCTGTTGATGAACTGAGGATCCCCCTCTCCTCCTGATCGCACTCACGTGCACTGTGTTTCTCTCGCCAATTCAGGTTTTCTGCTCCTCCCCCAGTCACTGTCGCCAGCAGAGCTCACAGGCCTGTACTCTCAGAATCACCATGCAGTTTCACAACCCGAGGATCAGGGTCGCCTGTCCTTGCTATTTTAGGGTTTTAAAAATAACCAAACACGCAATATTCCATTTAAGTTCAGCATTTGTAGGAGTTTGAGAAGGCCCAGCTGTACCGCCAGCAAGGGTAGCAGACGCTCAGGATGGCTGCCTACTCAAAATGTTCACATTTTGAATTCGTGTCTGGTGCCTGTGCACGGGAAGGCACAGAAGTTTTCCTCTGGATGTGGGGTTTCTGGGGGCCACGTGCCAGTTTCCAGCACCTCCTACTCAGGTCTTGGGCCCCTACAGGCCGCCCCCAGACCCCAGGGCTTCATGCTGTCAGTTGCCAGCCACATGCCTCTCAGGCAGAGCAGAGCGCAGCCCAGCCAGTGACTTCACCAGGCTTGTGGCTCTTTGTTCTTCCCAGTACTAAGACACAGATCAATTTCTTCAAAACTTCTCTTGGAATTTGTTTGGAATTAAAGTTCCTGTAAATTAAGTTTGTGTGTTATCTCATCCTGTCCAGGCATGAGCTCTTCTCTGTTGAAGTAATTTATTTTCAATGAAGTTTACAGTTTTCAGCATAAAAACTGTACACATTTGTGTTGGAATCATTCTTGGGTATTTTGAAGGTTTTATAAGATTTGTTCATTAATTTCTTTTAAAGTCACTTACAGAGAAAGGGAGGGAAGGATTGAGAAAAAGAATCTCCACTTCCGTTTCACTCCCCAGATGGCTGCCACAGCCAGGGCTGGGTCAGGTAAGGCCAGGGGCCAGGAGATCCACCCAGGTCTCCCATGTGAGTGCAGGGGCCCAAGGCCTTGGACCATCTTCTGCTGCTTTTCTGGGCCATCACTGGGAACTGGATGGGAAATGGAGCAGCCAGGACAACCCAGAGCCTTGTGCGAG